AGAAGCCATATAAAGAGGGCTGTTGTATGTCAAGTAAATACCTTCTTGCACTTGTCGTGCAGAAGCATTCTGTATTTATGATGTTTCATAAAAAGACTTCATGAGCTTCGTTCGCTGTCTCATAAGCAATAAATGTATAACATTAAGTCTAAGGCCATTTCTCAATAGGGTTATGTTGTTTGCACATTAAGACATTAATAAACATTTGTATCTATTTTAAGTACAAAACATAGAAATGTGGTAAACTCAAACAAGCCCAAATATACATAACACACCTTCTATGTAAGGCATTGGATTGTTTAGCTATTGGTATTGTAATGAAAAAGAACTATTTACAAAAGTATAGTTCTATGGTCATATAATGAAAACCTTATCTGCTACATTGTAATTAATGTAAATTAGCTGGCAGTAAAATTAACACATGTAATTATGATTAAGCAACCTACACTGCTGTAGAAGGCATCTTCAAGCATATTTGTAAACACTGTTGCTTGGTGTGAGGCATCTCACCTCAAAGATACTCATCGCATACACCTAACGTGGGGTTACACTCTTCTAATACCCTCCTCAACTTTCACTTTGGAAAAAAGTTATAGATATATATATATATATATATATATATATATATATATATATATATATATATATATATAGGTATATATATATATATATATATATATATATATATATATATAACTTTAGAATGGGAACTCATGCCACCTAGCATCACCCCCAAGTGTACAGGGTACTGTACCTCATCACAGTACCACGTCACCTTAGACGATCATTGGTGAGATGGTTACAGTACCATGTACATTTGGGGGGGGGGAGCCTGGGTGGCATGGGTTCGAATCCTGGCCGGGGTCAATGGAGGTCTTAAGTGATTTATGGCTTCCGCGTTTACTGCAACCTTTGTGTCACAAATATTTATATACTGCATATTTATATATACTCAGACTTTTTCCCACTGTCCTAAGTGAATGTAAAACCCTCATGTATCTTCATACTATATAGCAAAGTCTTCTAGTCTCTTCAAAAAATTGAAAGGCTCAATTTTGTATTATAGTAGCATGTTAACTGTACTCCAATACAGTAGAGTTAGAAAAAAAATAAAGCACACTCACTCAGCCCTGGTGGCACAGTGGTAACACACTCATCATGCACCTCGCAAGTGATTTCGTCTGGGTTTGAACCCAAGCCAAGGAGGATTGACCCAGTGCCAATTCTAATGAACTGTTCGCCCCAGTTCACAAAGCAGTAACTGGGGATCTTGTGTAAACTGATTGGCGGGTCATGTTCCGGGGAAAACTGGGTTTAACATGAGCTATAGAAAAGGAAAGCTCTAAGCCTACTAACAAGAGTCAGAAGTCATCTATTCCTGTACCCAAGTGGTAATATGATGTAAACTATTGTGAACAATATAGTATATGATGTTTTATAAAATAAGACAAAGTGAAAAGAAGACTTTAAATTACATAGCTTTCTTTAACAACCAAATGATACAACAGCATTAAATTACATCTTTATAAAATAATAAAACTTAAGACACAAATTGGATAACACCTTTAAGAAACTTAATAAAACACCAGAGATATATAATTTAGAAAAAATTCCATTCCATTACAATAATTTGCAATATGCCTTCATTTTATATCAGCATTAATGTCCCTTTGTTAAACTGCACAATTTGAATATACATATTTTGTACTGAAAAATAGGCAACAAGAGATACATTAAGAACCAGAGATTTATACAGAGTTTGAGTTTATGAGAGTGGTTCTGCCCACCAAAGTCTGAACTACAATTTACTTAATGTACAATTTGGCTTCTATTAGTTACTGAAGCCGTTATCAAATTTAATGTTAGATATATAATGCCACCGATGAGCAAGTAACTTTTTTATCTTCAAAAGAAGAGGTCTGAGGCTATTTCTTTCTCTGATCCTCATTACAATTAAGCAAACATGCTGTAGCTGTACTCTTTGTACTTAAGTGTAAAATATTCTTCACAACTTTTTTCATGGTGACTATTGTGTAATAATCAATAATATTTAGCTTGTCAGTGCCAATATTCAATGATTTCAAAGGCAATACATGCAATACCCCTAACCTGTAAGCATTTTTCTCATGCACATAGATTGAAGAAAATATATAAACAACAGTAGCAAAAAATGCTCGATGTGCAGACACCAAGTCACAATAATGTGTTTGAAAATTAAATACCCAACCCATAAATCTGACAGTGAAGGACTTGACAAGGTTTTGGTCCGTCCTGGACCATTATCAAGTTGTGTAACATCATTAATTCCTTTACTTTCATATTTGTGGGTTGGGTGCTTAAATGCTCCATGTTTCCACAGATAGTGCTTCATCTACTCTCAACACCTTGCTAATTTTTTTTCATCTAACTACTCTATAGGGTCAACTGATGATAATAATTTTTATGCCCTTAATGGAATTTTGAAATTGTAGTAATTTCTGTTCCATGGAGCTATAAAATTGTGGGACCTATTCTGTGATGGATAAATATAACTATGGACACTTCTGTTCCATGGAAGTACAGTACCTGTATATAACTTTGTATCTATTCCATAATGGAGCTATATGCCTATGGAACTTCTATTCCATGAAGGAGCTATATAATAGTTGGCACCTATTCATTGCATGAAGTATGACTATGGACACTGTAATTTGTATTACATGGAAGGAAAATCTATTCTACCTATTACCTGTGACTTCACTCCCAGAGTATATAAAGGGCACCCAAATTATACAAGCTTTCCACCCTTACTTTTAAATCTATATATATTAAGTTAAAGTGAGCAAGTTCCTCCACACACACTTCTAGACATCCAGCCTCTCCTCTCAAATAGTATATCGCACCTGACGTATAAATCCCCAACGGGCTAAACATGACGTAGTGTACTATAAATCATAGTGGCTTGCAAAATTGATGGGTTAACATGTTTTCTATTCCTAGGGCATTAGTTAGGTTAGGTTCGGGCAATTTGGTACACCATCTTTGTGACAAGACAACTCTAAAGAGGACGGGCTGAGACATCACCATCATCACTACTCAATTCCTACTCTCATGGATAGAAGGCAGCTGCCATGAAATGAAACACTGATGGGTATATATTACTTTGCTAGCGGCAGTGGTGGCTCCAGTTTGCCGTGACGCTGTTGAGCGTGGAAGAGATTATCAAAGTAGTCCCGTGTTAGTGGTACAGTTTCCCCGCAATGCTGCATGCGGTGTGTGGATGATATTGTTTATTATGAAAGTGCAAAGTGTGGAAGGTGAAATTTTATTTTATATATATATATATATATATATATATATATATATATATATATATATATATATATATATATATATATATATATATATATATATATATATATATATATATATATATATATATATATATATATATATATATATATATATATATATATATATATATATATATATATATATATATATATATATATATATATTCTACCTATTATATATATATATATCTATATTCTATATCTATATATATATCTATTCTATATATCTATTATATATATATATATATATATATATATATATATATATATATATATATATATATATATATATATATATATATATATATAAACAGGTGCTGCCTTTTGTATTGAACTTTCCTTTCCTATATACAAATACTTTTCAAATCACAAATTTCTCTGTTCATCTGTAATGATTTACAGAGTAAGGCCTCGTTACAGAATCTCCATTCCCTCTTAATATTTTATCTTATTAAAATTTTTGTTACTTGTATTTGGCAATTATATAGTTAAGGCATTTGTCATTTACTTGACTGAGAAACAAGATAACAAAATTGACACTCATTTAAACAAAAAAATGAGATGGCTGAACATGTCTCTGCCAGAAGCAAGCGGAGCAAATTAACCATATTCGATAGAAAAGTTATGAACTGTACTGCAAATTGTGGAAACCAAGGTTGTACCTTTTATATCTGACAGTAGTCTTCACAAACAACACCCTCCCCCAACCTTACAACTATTGTCAATATGTTAACAAATAAGCCATTACTTTTTATTTGGATAATACAATTGTTGAAGGCAATGCAAGGTCTTTCAAAACATCAAATCTAGTAACACTAATACAATATGTTAATTTGCATCAAATTTCGTTTGAAATTTAAAATAAAATATTATAGTGCCAGTCTTTTAATATTGCTAATTTGTCTTAACAAAATATTCCATTAAAAAAAATAACATAAAAAAAATATAACTTTTCAGTTACCATTATTCCCACACAGAATAGAAATCAAAGGGAATGCAAACAGGACATGTAAGTCTAAGTCAATGTCTATCGTGTTATTGAATATACTGTACTGTACTGTACTTTCTTACCAACCTTGCTTTAAATATGTTACCATGATGTTTCCTTTCTCTTGAAACAGAAAATAAAAATTTTTGTATCCAAATCTTATGTATTCTTTATGCCTTGTACCATCTGGGAACTACATTTTTATGGGGTGGCATCATGTAAAATATTCCTCAAGATATTTTATATCAAAACCTTAAATATCAGCAGAAATCATCCGTTTGATGGATGATGACATTAGCTGAAGCATACACGAGGGTTGGGGGGAAAATGCTGCCATTGACGGGAGTTTGCTTTGATACTAAACAAAATTAAAACAAAATTAATTACTTATTAATAAATAAAATAAAAAATGCTAATTCAGAATGATTTTTATGATAATGTAAATTCCATTGAATACCAATATGCTTAAGCTCAATTATTTTGTGAATTCTGATGATATACAATCCTCCTTGGCTGCATCTTAAATTTACAAAATGATTTCAGAGATGATCTTTCAAAATTCTACTAATTAGGTAATGATCTCCAATACCAGTACTGTATTGTGCATTTACAGTGATGATGGCTCAGCATCTGTCTCACCTGCTTAAATCAATTCTTGTATGGGACAAGAATAACCAACATCAGAGAATCCACATAGTATTATTATTCTTATACAGTTCCTTTATTTTAGCACCTATTATATATGAAACCATATAATATATAAAAATTATAAATATATTTGTCATTTAACAAACAAAAAATTAATCGGTAAATAAAAACCACATGTGCGCACGAACACACTTCAAAATTTCCTACAGTCATGTATGCTTCTTCAAACACAAACATGCAAGAACACAAATTGCGCTCTATTATAGGCAGCATCATTTTCCTTCTTATTTATTTTTTGTAGATTTTTACTACCTAGATCACCCCACTGTGGATGGTAAAGGAAATGAATAGACAGGCATACAATTAAATATCTATGGCAGGAAAAGGAAAGGTCTATGACTGAAATCCTATTTCATTTATAAACAAACTCAGTTCACTAAAACAGCTGCCAGACTTTCCTCATAGAATTTTTCTTTAGTGCAACTCCACTACATGGGACACAGTCCACAAAATTAATACTGTACATGTATTGAACATGTACCAAAACAAATGGAACTTCACATAGTTTTTAAAAGTCAGAAAGACACGCATCCTGAAGGCTATTCCATGGAAAGGCGGTTCCTGATTTTCAGGCAAACAACAGGCAAGATAATAAGTATTTTGTGAATATATTCCTGTCATGATTGAAACAATGATTAAGGTTTTAGAATTACGTGCAAGTTTGTTAGAACAGTTTACTTAGTAACTCTCAGATGTGATTAAGACAATCTAATTAGTGTGTAGTTTAACCCATAGATGCAATAGCACCATGTAAAAAGTTTACAGTTGAAAAGTAAATATGGAATCCACTACTGACAAGGCTGTGTGCTTTAACGTGTATAGCATTAAACACTATTTTTATAAGATGGCAAGTACATCCTGCCCTACAAAAGTGTCAAGAGCACAGAATGAATAAGTCACGAATAGCTACTAAAGATAATGAGCTTAGGCAATTGCTGGTAATTGGGAGGTAAAGTCACAAATCAAGGCAAGGCAGTAATTAAACACTAAGAAATGTAAGGATATGAGCCTTGACTAGAGTATCTGGAGAAGATTGTAAGTAAAGATCCTTGTTATGATTGTAGGCATGAGACTGTGACTCCAGATATAGTTGGTGTGTGTGTACATTATATATCAACTTTCATGCTTCACTTCTAAAACCATTTCCAGGAGAATAAACCTTTAAAACGTGGAAGCATAAAATAAAAATGCCGAGAAAAAGGCTCGGAAAAATTTACTCTTTTTGAAGGCATAGTACGATACAATATATAGGAATCCTCTCCGTATCAAAATCTCTTGTGAATTAATGAACCCTTTTACACCCAGTCTTATTCTAGCTTGTGATCGCTGCAAATGAACAGGATCAGAAATCGCCATTGAGGTCGATAACCTTAATTTACTATTAGCTCTGGCATTAGATAAGCTTCTTGAAGGTTTGTATACAAAATACACAGAAGAATAAGATCATCCGTAAAACAGCACTACCAATAAATGAAACCCCTCAACCACGCGGAAATTTCAAGGTACGTAATCATATTTACACTCCCAATAGTAATGAAGAATGGCATACACATGTGTCAAGGTTTTAGCAACTTGTCTTATTCCAGTAAAATAATTGTGTCTGACATATTTAATGACCTGTGAATGTATATTTAGATTAAATTTAAGATTTTTAATAATTAAACAAATATAAGAATAATATCACAATACATGCTAAACTGCTTCAGTGGTAGCTTAGCACAATGAATGGTTCCAGACCAAGGCTTGTCTCATTAATGCCATTTTGTGTGTGTGTATTTATAACCCAAAATAAGAGATTGAGAATAACAAAACTTTACAAGACTACTCATTATAAAAGACCATACTTGTTTTGTGAAGTGATTTACAAGCGTATACTTTTTAGCTTACATTAACATAAATTTTCAAACAATACCATCTCCCTCAACCCCAAATGTGTGCTTTTGAGAAAATGAGTTAGCTACTCTCACTTAAAACACAAGTACGGCCTCAGCAGGAATGTTACATCTTCTCACTTATGCTGGACCATCTATAGCCAACCTACTTTTGTCTCCAGTACAAAAGAGAGGTTACCTCTACACTACAGATGCGCATCGCCAATGTCGTCCTTTGTTAATGAGAGATGGTCCCAAATCTCATATGGCACTGAATGAATTTCCTTTCTTAACTGTAGCCTTAATGTCTTTTATTTTGTATAGAATATTTCCACACCATTTTTAAAGTGTTTGTTCTGCCATTCCCTTTTTAACTGGTCTCCAATATTGTACATATAGAGAGCAGTCAGCGTAAGATATTTAACTGTCCCCTATTAGTACCATAAATAAGGCCTTGACCAGGGTAAGGGAGCCAGCGAATGCAGTTTAGTGATGTGTGACGGTGGTCACTCATGACCTCAATGTCTCGGAGCAGCTGTAAGTGCCCTGCTTGCCCTCGGCCGTGGAACATGGGGTTGTCACACAGTTTGTAGATCTGAGCCACAACCTAAATGAAGATAAAACAATAAATTAACAAACAAACGCTGAAGATGCATTAAATGCCACATGTGAATTTAAATGAACTGACGTGATCAAAGATCATTTACTAACATTGATACAATTTATGGAAAAATATATACTGTACTTACAGTATATGTCAACCTCTCAGCATACTGTATTGTTTTTAAGGCAGTGCTTCATCCAAATCCCATGATCACTGCATAATTTGACAAATTTCTCAGTATAATCTCTGTTATCCCCCCCCACCCTTACACACACACACTCCCTTTTCTGTCTCTGTCTCTACAGCCTTAACACCTTACTCCCCTCTCCCAGGAACTCATCAGGAAGTGGGCAAAGCACAAGTTTTTCCAGGAACTTCTGCTGTGGCCACCCTAATATTATTATTATTAATCAGACCTATTCTAACACACGTCTCTGAAAATTATTAAACACTAATAATATGGTACTATTTAAGCTTCCAACCTTTTGCTTAAGTCAATTCTACAGCCTCATTGTGATGCCTGACATTATTATTTTACATTTATTAAACATTTGCCTTTATAACCATCACATAGCTTGCTAAAAACAAACCCCATTGCACAAAATATTGTAACAAAAATCTTTAACTGTAACTGTGCTTGATACTTCCTACCTCCCGGCCCAAACTCCATCCGATAAACAAATCCATCCGATACTGTCTGACTTCCCGCTCTTTCATTTATATCCCACAGCCACAATACCTGTTCTTCATCAAAGTGTCCAGTACATTCTGTAACTGCATCACAGAATTTTCTTACATGTGCTGGTATGCACAAGTGTAAAGTATCTGCGAGTGATACAGGCCCTAGCAACACACATTCCAATTTCTTGCACTAACTACAACATGGACTATTAAATCGTTCAAAGCCGCCTACAAAATATCAAAATTGTGGTCCTTAAACTGCCATATCACACTACAGAAGCATAATAACAAAGAGTTCACGGTACGCAAATTCGTTTTACAAATATTCTACGATTATCTCAAAACAACCGGCACGTCAACCTTTCAATTTGTCCCCCGAAATAAGCCCTCTACTTACCTGTTTAGTATTATGATGCGCAACAAGCCGTGGCATGTGTGAAGCAAAGCCAACCACCAAATGTCTTGCCATCGGAGAGAGGCTGACGCAGATAGTGTTAGGCGCAAAGATGTAGCTGTAGAGCAGCTGGCCAAAAGAATGACCTTCCAAACTGTACACTCCTGCAAATATCCACAATCGGCATAATTTATGCCACATTTTTTCAACAACTGTAAATAGACTTCAATTATATATATGCATGAAATGCTATGACTGATTGTCAAATGGGAAGATGTATACATCAGCACTAAGCAAGACTACATTCAACAGTATGTAGGAGCATCCTGTCTTTGGGTCTAGTGTGCATATGCATATAGTGTATATATGATGCAATTGTTGATGGGAAGGTGTTTGTGAGCGCTCTATGATGCAACTGCTGATCGGAAGGTGTTTGTGAGTACTCTATGATGCAACTGTTAATGGGAAGGTGTTTGTGAGTGCTCTATGATGCAACTGTTGATGGGAAGGTGTTTGTGAGTGCTCTATGATGCAACTGTTGATGGGAAGGTGTTTGCGAGTGCTCTATGATGCAACTGTTGATGGGAAGGTGTTTGTGAGTGCTCTATGATGCAACTGTTAATGGGAAGATGTTTGTGAGTGCTCTATGATGCAACTGTTAATGGGAAGGTGTTTGTGAGTGCTCTATGATGCAACTGTTGATGGGAAGGTGTTTGTGAGTGCTCTATGATGCAACTGTTAATGGGAAGGTGTTTGTGAGTGCTCTATGATGCAACTGTTGATGGGAAGGTGTTTATGAGTGCTCTATGATGCAACTGTTAATGGGAAGGTGTTTGTGAGTGCTCTATGATGCAACTGTTGATGGGAAGGTGTTTATGAGTGCTCTATGATGCAACTGTTGATGGGAAGGTGTTTATGTGAGCACCAGAAAGCAAGTGTAAATCAGTTTATGATGCAATACAAGTAGCCACAGTGTTTTCATGCATCATCCATATTTAAACCCAAGACAACATACAAAGTCAAGAAAATGTAAAATATCCCGACACTCACCAACCATAGTCATGGCTTGGCTCTCAGGGACCAAGGCAGCTAGCATGGTGCCATCAGAAGAAATATCAACACTGGCATCATTATGGATTTTGCATTTTCCCACAACCACATTTGCATTACCTGCAAGAAGACAAAATACACTTATCAGATAAGACTAATTTCCTCAAAAACACTTATAATGGATCATTAAGAGAAACAGTAGTAAAGTTAAAATGTTTCAATCTCTTACCATCAGAGATGTCTGGGATGCGGTAGTGGGCAAAGTCCCAAGCCTGGATGCGATGAGTGACCCCCGAGCCTGGGGAGCCTGCAATACAAGTCAAACATGATTAGTGATTTTTATGATTAATTTTTTTTCTTTATTAAATACCACTCAAATAGCTCTTATGAACAAATGAATACCTGAACACAAAGAAAACATGCAAGTTACAACTTCCCCTAGATGTACATCACTGCTTAAAGCAACTCATATAATGAAAAACCTATACTAGCATACCCAGTTTAAAGCTGAAACAATTTGCTTAAGAACTTTTTCTTTAGTTAACAGATGGAATGTATTAGGCACTGATGAGGTGGAGGCAGCCATACACAGTTTCAAACGTAGTTATGATACAGCCCAGTAGGCTCAGGCATCTATACACCAGTTCATTGACAGTTGAGAGGTGGGACCAAAGAGCCAGAGCTCAACCCCGCAAGCATAGACACACACTACATACATGATGCACACACACACATTAGTTTCAGTAGTTTCAAAGCGTTATATGACAAAGAGTGCTGGGAAGACGGGACACACGAGCATAGCTCTCACACACACACACACAATTACACTTAGGTAATTACACACACACACACACACACCTAAAACTAAATACCAAATAGTAAATACTGACTAAAGTAAGTCAGTAGTTTCAAAGAGTTATATGACAAGAGTGCTGGATAGATGGGACACCACGTGTAGCTCTCATCCTGTAACTACACTTGTCGGAAAATCCGACACCATTTAATATATCATACAGACAGATAATAGCTGTATTGTATAAACAAGTTAACCCATAGAAAACGTAACTTGTAGTGGAATTACCGTCTATAGAAAACGGGATATCATCACCACATACTATTATAATTTCACCAGCTATTCTGCTGGGAATTATTCTTAAATACATTAGTCTTTGGACTTTACCATCATAAAAACATCTCATATAAATTAACTTAATTATCAATATTAAAGTAGAGTAAATGTGACCCTTCTATCACTTTCTGTCATCTGGACAATGTAAGCCAGGCGTCAGTGAGGAAGGAGGGGCAGCCATTGTTTGTACTAGACCAGAGGCTCACGGGAGCAAATTCGGCTCCTGTTAATTTTACTTGGACGTAGTGTTATGGAAACCAAAGGTGTACCATTATCAACACGCTGTCAACAAATCAAGTTAAGTGTTCTTCCGAAACCCATTATCTATCATTAGTGGCCATTAATGTCATTGGGTAGGGTTAGCCGGTTAGAGCACGAGATAGCCTCAAACTAAAGGTAATTAAGCCAGGTCTTCATTGTTCCATGTACAGTGTTTTCTCTGATATAGCTTGTCATATATAGGATTCTGGCTTCACAGTTAGCGCCCTTTTGACAGGTCAAGACGAGGAAGCATGCTTTGTGCATCAGTTACCAGGGTGATGGAAGCTACCTCAAAGAGGGAAAATGTGGTGTCTACACCCTAGTTATACCTGGTGGAGTAAAGCCTGCTGTACTATAAGATAAGGAACCTCTTCAATGTTTAATAATGTGTAGTTAATACTGTAGTTTGATTGGCTGCATATATATTCAATTAATATAAACCCCCCCTAATGTGTAGAGGATCGATTTGTGAGATTATGAGATTATTGCAGAAATAGTCCACTTATCATTATACAAATTGCTATCGAAGTATATAAATTAACGTAAATATAAATTCATATAAATTAAATAAATATAAATCTCACAGGTCGGTTCCCACAACACTTAGGTAATTATACTTAGGTAATTACATCTCCTGTGCCAGATAAGTACGATTGGCTCACCATAGCCTGTGCTGCTTGGAGCGTTTTGTACCGAGTAGTTGAATAAAAAACAACAACTACATCAAAATAGTTGACAAATGGAATGCACTAGGAAGTGATGTGGTGGAGGCTGACTCCATACACAGTTTCAAATGTAGATATGATGGAGCTCGAGAAGCTCAGGAATCTGTACACCAGTAGATTGATGGTCGAGAGGCGGGACGAAAGAGCCAAAGTTCAATCCCTGCAGGCACAACTAGGTGAGTACATACATACATACTAGTAGATATATTAAAGATGAGCTACCATATACTATGAAACCGAAGTAAACATTTTCTATTTATTTTATCTGCTACACTCACCACCATTGGAGGTAGCGGCAGCTTGCTGCTCCTCACACCAACACTCAAAACTTTTTTTTTATCGTGAAAATTTCTTATTATTCACCATTCCTGTCATTAACAACTTGTGTACAGGCCTATATTTGTGGTTTCGTACTTTGTTTAGGGTATAGTATGGACAAGGTTGCTTATGAGTAAAGAATGAACAGAACAGATGGTGGTCTACAGCGAGCGAGAGTAACCTGCTGCTGCTGCCTCTCGCTCACCTCCAACCACCATCACACTCACTCCACACAAAATGGTCCTCACAAATGGGGGTTTCCAAAGTTTTATATATATATATATAACAATTACCTCATTCATGAGATTTAACTGTCCTTTACCTGATATAGTTCTTGATGCTCCAAAATGTGGTGTAAAGTAAGGTCTACTAAAGAAGTTATCGGCTTCTCTTTCTGCTGCTCGGTCAGGCGGTGCACGCTGAAGATTGGGACGGAAAAGCATCTCTGAACCAGGACCTCTGGGAAGTCCTATATCATAAGGAGTTAAGTGGCCTCTCCATGGAAATGGTGCATCTGGTGGATGACTTGGCCCATCCTGAACTCCATCTGGAGGACCAGGAGAATCTTCAGAGTCTGGACTTCGCCGATCAACAGCATACTGACGTCCAAGAAGCCGAAGAGGCACCCCTGACACTGACCTCGTGTTGAAATCTGCCTGGTCGTTGTGAGAAGGTCCAGGTGTGGAACTGGATGGTGCACTTTCTTCTTCTACCTGGCTCTCACTCCCATTAGGATCACTCAGTGTGATACGAGGAATGACAAGCTGAGGTCGTGGCGAGCTACTTCGGAACCCTGTGGTCCCAGTCCTCCCGGATTCTCCATTTGCACCCGGCTGTTGAGCCAAATTCCCTGACCGTCTCAAGAAATCTGTAAGACGTCTTGGAACATTCGTGATGGGTCTTGTACTCTCTGGTGCAGGACTAGATTCCCCAGCACCATCTCCAACACTATCATTTCGCAGTTCTTCACTAGCCATGCGCACTGTTTCTAGTAGTGTAGTTAAATTATGAAGACCTGGTTCAAGATCCAATGCCATTGGAGGAGGAAAGTCTCCTCTTTCCCCATCTCCAGCACCACCTGTCTCTTCATCACGGAAGGGGTTTGGAAGGCGGGATATGGGTCGTTCTTCGTACGATCTTTAAAAAGGTGGAAAGAAAAACAATCAACAAAAATCTTTCATCTAAAAACCGAGATTTTCTCATAAATAAAGCGGCATACTTCTATAGCTGACCTGACATGAAAACTGCGACTCTTGGCAAATATCATGCTTAATAGTCACTCTTGGCGAGATCCAAATTAAACTTACATATCAAGGTTCATGATTACACAAGATATTTATGCTATGCTGTTATTGTAACTTTAATGTACTGTAATATTTATGTAAACTTTCCCAATTATAAATGTACAACCATTCATGAATAAAGTTTCTGATTTGATTGATTTGATTGATTTACCTCTCCTCATGACTACCTGCTTCTAGGTGGCAGAATAGAGCACCAAGTGCTGACACTCATGTAGATGAAGTCCTTACAGGGCAAACATCATCTGCAATAAAATCTACTCTCTACTCTGTTTCTCTACAACAAGCCTACTTCTACACATGTGAATCCTTCACTACAAAAGCTGAAGATCTAAGGTCCAATTCTCCATCTATTTAACTCATTAAATAATGCATTTTGTTAACTTTTAGAGTACTTTACCTTACCTATCTCTCTATTTTTTTTTTACTTTACATCCAGTCATCCTCATTACTTTGCCACATAATTTTTGTGTATAAAGTAATGAGGAAGTAATTCTGCAGTCCTTTATTCTTATGTTCTTAAGTTCCAGAGCCCAGAATTGATCTTGTGACCGAGTTAAACTCCTAACTTTTACTAAGATGTTGCTTTCGAATTCAAGCATCTTGCCTAGAACAATGTCATCAAAGGTGCTACTGTAACAAACTACGCACGGTACTTAGTTACTGTGAAACTAAATATACAGTATGCTTAACAAAAAAGAGCATAACCTCAATGCACTTGTGTTACATGATAAGGTCTATACAGTTGAACTGTAAAAGGATAATGACAATTAATAGCTGATTGAGACTAAGACAAAATATAGTAAAGATTACCCAATAAGCTAGTGGGAAGGAGGAAGAATGTGTGGAGGAGAGGAGAAGAATGCACGGAGGAGAGGAGAAGAATGCACGGAGGAGAGGAGAAGAATGCACGGAGGAGAGGTGAAGAATGCACGGAGGAGAGGTGAAGAATGCACGGAGGAGAGGAGAAGAATGCATGGAGGATAGGAGAAGGATGCATGGAGGAGAGGAGAATACATGGAGGAAAGGAATTAACTTAGTGAGAGAGATAGTAGCAGGGCTTGACCCAACTGCCTGTCGACTGGTCAGTGGTTGGAGAGGCAAGTACAGTACTGTACTCACAAAGGATGTGTCAATATCTGCTTAAAGTCAAGAGTTGTACAAAGTAGGCCCAACAAGTTTTATAAAGAGTTCTAGCCTTCAACCTAGCAACTCACATAATTGAATATTGGATCTCTAATCATTATACAAATAATGAAGCCAAACATACATATTCTGGTTGCAGATGAAATTTAGAAGCTGATATATAAGGTGAAGCGCCAGCCGAACCAATAACCGTAAATCTGAAGAAAATGAGAAAAATAAATGTTTATTCCTAATTTATGAATGAAATACCTGAAATTCCTTGTTAAGTCTGATTATTTCTTACATTTATGATGATGATTTATACATTTGGAACATAATATGATATTGAGTTAAAGCAAAATAATCTGTATTATACATATACTGTACAGTAATGTCATTTAAAAAAAAAACTTGTTATTTTCTTAATCTAAGAAAACATTTTTAATGAATTTTCATAGAACTGTATCTATGGAACAGCCTTGATTCTGCATACATATATTTGTTTTCTACAGTTTTTAAATTTGCATTTGTATTTTATGTATAGTACCTTATTCATTGTCGATAACTTCAGTTATCTCTAAAACTAGAATTTCAACTTTGAGTCAGCTTAAAAAAAATCCAGTTTCTGAAAGATGCTATCTTGAGGTTATCTTGAGATGATTTCGGGGCTCGCCGCGGCCCGGTCCTCGACCAGGCCTCCACCCCCAGGAAGCAGCCCGTGACAGCTGACTAACACCCAGGTACCTATTTACTGCTAGGTATATGCTCACCTAGCAGCTGTCTGTTCTACAATCCTATTAGAATGACTTTTTCATAAACCCTAAACGTTTGAAGTTATACATTTTTTTGTCTAAATTTGCCGTATATTTCAAATCCCACATTGATGATTTTTTTTTTACAGTAAACTAAACTCAAAACCTCTATTCTAAATCTATGAAAATGAAGATCATAATGCTATTCTGAGAGCATAACAACACCAAATGAACAATTGGCAATATTTTATATTTTTGCAACTGATTTGAAAATCTGAAGTTTAAGGTGAACTACGGGAAGGAAAAGCTTTAAGCCTGTCAACAGACCCAAATTATACAATACAGGGATGCCCCTGACCACTTATTGTTGAACAATTCTTAAAGCCAGAGAAAACAAGTCTGCATAACAGACTTGAATAAAAAAAAACTAGAATAACAATATATGTATGCAGAATTAAAGCTGGAGAGCAGAATTATGATTAACAGACTACCAGAAACTGAATGCACAGCCTGGAGTCCATTTTGAGTACACTTACTCAGCATATGGTTATCCATGGAGCTTCCACCAGCATCCGGCTCAGCCTCCGGGGCATCTGTTGCTTGCTGCTCTTGCTGCCTTTGTTGATGCTGGTGCTGGTGCTCTTGCTCCTGGTTAACCAGGCTGTTGAGGCGGTCTGCCATCCGCTGTAATATTTGCCTGAAAATGCCACATGACTATTATATACATTACCAAAGTAGCATACCCGTCCCCCAAAAACAAAATATTTAAAAAATTATAAATTATAGATAGGTATACTAGATATATATAATTATTTTTATAAGGCCCAAGGAACACTAACACTTTGAAATTATCATTACAAACAAAGTAACTGGCTACCAGGTGTGTGCACCCCACAGGTAAACAGAGCAGTAAGGAAGGTTTTAGGGAGGCTTCACACTTTAAGACAAAGCCACTCAACTGGCTCGAGGTAGACAGGAAAAAAGGGGACTATTGGGATCCTGCCCAAGAAACAGTGTTTCACACTAAAATGTTTTTGTTGCAAGCAAATCAGCATTAATAATTATAATACAAATTATCAGCCATACAAGTACTGGTACCAAACATACCTGTAACGGTCTCGTCTCTCACGACGAAAGCCTTCCCTCATGAGTATTCTCTCAGCTGTAATACTTCGAGATCTTAGTGCTGCCATAGGAAACCGAACAGAATCCCTGGTGTTGCCAGGACTGCGACCAGCTACCATATCTCGCCGTGCATTCAAAATATCTTGTCTTAATCGATGTCTTGCACTGTGCCACTGACTAGAATTATCTGCAGAAGCAAAAATTAAAGACTGATAATCTACGTTTATGAAAAATAGAAACAAACAAACAAACAATGGGTAATTGTGCTTTGTTTTACCCTTTCCTCTTGAAGCCAATTCATATTAGAGAAGTCTCATTACAGTCTCTTGCACTTTCTTATGCTTGCTTTCCTTTACAACGTTCAGTATAATCTTATTTACTGGTGTATAATATTTTCTAAACCTATAGGTTATATATTTTATTTCCAAACATGTTCTCTGCATTCTTTCTCCTATATTTATTTCTAGTGAATAGAATATATTTAAATATACTCACAGGTCATTAAATTTTATACATGGTACTTTTCCAAGTACTGAAACAGGACAAAAATCTTTCAAATCTTACAGCCAAATTTATGTAACTATTAGTTAAATATTTTGACCATTGCACATGAATCTTGTTTGTGCCAAAGATAAAAATATCAAATGTTAGAAAACCTCTGCATGTCTCATTAAAATTAAAATGTGTTAAACTGCATATGCAAAACATCAATCTATGAATGTGACTGAATTTTATGGCATACAAAACTTACTATTAAAATCATTGCTCTGAGCCTCTGTGCCATCAAGCTGTGACAGGGTTGGAGGTGCTGTTGGCGGTGGCCCTGGAGGAGTTGGCCGTTGAGCAGGAGGTAAATCACACCACGGATTTGATGCAGTTGAAGCTCTTTCGTTTGGGGCATCAGGTAGTCTGTCAGCATTCCTTCCAAGGTTTCTTCCTTGCGGGCGATCAGAATGTCTTCCATGCAATCTGTCCGACCCTCTCCTTGACAAACGATCGGAATTTGGATCACACCATCTGTCTGATACTCTTCCATATGGCCTGTCAAACCACCTGCTGGAAGTTCTCAGTGAATTCCTCTCAAAAGGTCTGCTATATGGTCTGTCTAAAGGCCTCTGTGATGCTCTCTCTGGTGGTCTAATAGGTGTGTAATTTGAGGTCGTCTCTGTTCTGTTGCTCCCTGCATTAGTTTCTTGAGGCTCTGTTGTATAGAAAATAACATTATTTAAATTTATATTTATTCCTCTATTTTACAAATGTATCCCAAAATACTGTATTGTATATCAGAAAACAGTGTTGGGTGTGTAAGGTTCACCAGGATAAAAACCGCCAGATATCAACCGTTGGGTGTGCTGACCTACATGGCACCTCTCACCTTACAAAAGTTGATCGACGGTTCTACTTTGTGCAAATATTTAAGGTTGTGTATCTTTTATATATAAATTAGTGCAAAAACTGTGAGATAATACCCATGGCCAAGTGAGATAATACCCATGGTCACGTGAGATAATACCCATGGCCATGTGAGATAATACCCATGGCCACGTGAGATAATACCCATGGCCACGTGAGATAATACCCATGGCCACGTGAGATAATACCCATGGCCACGTGAGATAATACCCATGGCCACATGAGATAATATTTTAGAATATTATTGCCACTTTGGCCACATTTTCAAAAAGAGTAGCCACTCTTGATACAGGTACTCGACATGTTATTTACAAAAAGAATGATGTGAACTCTGTCTTGGAACACACACACTATATTTTACCCAATGATCCTTAATCACCTACAAGGTATGAGCCTGCTTGGGGTGTTTTGAAGCAAATACCAAAGTATTCATGAGTCAACTACATATACAGGTGTGAGAAACAATGAGAACTAACACACAAATGATAGAAATAAGGATCATTCATACACAGGCAAGAAGGAATACCACATTATAAATAGGTGAAGAAACAGGAATATGACAAATAGCAAAAAGCCAGAGAGAGAAAACTGTCATAACTAGAAGTCATAGTCAAAAAGAAAAAGTATGGCATCAACTTTATGCCAGCTGTCAAGAGCCTGACAGCTGAGTGGACAGTGCTCGGGATTCGTAGTCTTAAGGTTCCAGGGTCGATTCCCGGTGGAGGTGGAAACAAATGGGCAGAGTTTCTTTCACCCTGATGCCCCTGTTCACCTAGCAGTAAATAGGTACCTGGGAGTTAGACAGCTGCTACGGGCTGCTTCCTGGGGGGTGTGTAACAAAAAGGAGGCTTGGTCAAGGATCGGGCCACGGGGTCGCTAAGCCCCGAAATCATCTCAAGATAACTTGCATTGAGGTACGTATAAGCAGAACCAGAGAAAGGAACCACCATTACAAGAAGTCAACCACCCTTCAACTCCCCTACACGAATACTTCCAACAGTGATCTATGCCAACCAATGCTACTTCTAATGCAGATACTAATTCCTAATACTTTTAAACTTTATCATAAGCATCCTTTTTTTTGTACTTGCCTGAGGTTGAGGTATTATTGGCTGCATTAGCTGATTGGTGCGCTATCATATTAGCAATTCTTGAGGCCAGCGACGTAGTTGGTGGCCCTGCACGTCGATAACGCTCTGTCAACAAATTTAGGATGGGGGTGAATAAGGTATTATAAATCAAATTTGCAAGCCAACAAAACATTTAGGATATCACATTTTAGTTACCACTTATCATCAAAATGAAATTTTTGCAAAAATATACTGCATAAAATTTATATTCTAAAAAAAAAAAATAACAAAAAACTATGAATGTAAAGCAAGCTTAGGCTACAGGCTAGATGCCATGAATAGTGTGCCACAATTGTAGCATATAAGGTACCTCCTACACCAACCAAACATACTGCAATAAGAATTAATTTAATTAGGTTGAAATGAGTCAATAAAACAGACAAATCGTATATGGAACATGGTGGTGGTGGTGAACCTGTGCCTCCTTCACACACCTGCATCACCAGGGAAGCAATTTGCTCACATCACTGATTCTGGCCCAAATTCTGAGGGCGCTTCAGAGATCAAATGTCATGCCAGATATCCTTGAACTCTACAGTTATTGTCAGAAGCAAATCAGTGACATCTATATGGATGTCATGGAGTAACCAAGACCCATGAAAAAGTTCTGCTATCCTTTTTTTATTGCTTACCATGTGATATGGTTATCATGTTAACTTAATCTCCTTACCAGGAGAAAATCACAATATGGTCTTTCCTGCTAGTGTTTGAATCTATTTCTGGACAACATTAACAAACAGAATATTAGCAAAGTAGTGAATGAGTTGCAAGACACTTCCTTTAAGCTGTGCAACAGAGAGATTTATGGACAATATAAGTGTGTATATTATGTTGTAGGGTTATACTGTATACAGGATTGTATGTATAAAATCTTGTCAAAAAACTTTTCATGCTAAAGTTTACAATAACCTCAACCAAATTTACTAGTGTTATTACTAATTGTCATATTTCAATTAATATGTCTTACCTGGTGGACTTGGTGGATCTTCTTCACGATCTACAGAAGCCGATGAGGTACCAGATGATGTGCTGGAAGTGGGCGACGACGCGTTGAGGAAGCCACGAAGACGGCGCTCCTGCTGCTCCAGTGCCTCCTGTCTCTCCCGTAAACGCTCCTGAAGTCGTTCAAAGGAGTGACGTAACATCTGAGGACGCTATAATGAATTACCCAATAGCAGAGGTGGGTTACATGATCTTATGTGACTCTTTAATAAAAAATTAACCCATATGCTTTTATGTCAGCAATGAAAGTCAAGACATTGCCAAATGTGTATCAATATACTGTACAGTACTGTATATTAAATTTAGGCTAATATTAAGTATGTCATATCTCTATTCTAGGGACTAAATAACAGTATATATACAGCAGATTCTTAACCAATCAGCAATAATCATTACACCTCACACAATCCTCAATACCCAAATGAAGCTTGATACTACACCTTGCACAATCCTTCATACTAGAACGAAGCTTGAACTTTTTAACATGCCTCACAATAATTCTCCTCCATTGTGTTCCTCCGCCTTAAATAGTGTTCCTCCGCCTTAAATAGTGTTCCTCCGCCTTAAATAGTGTTCCTCCACATTAAATAGTGTTCCTCCACATTAAATAGTGTTCCTCCACTTCAAATAGTGTTCCTCCACTTCAAATAGTGTTCCTCCACTTCAAATAGTGTTCCTCCACATGAAATAGTGTTCCTCCACATTAAATAGTGTTCCTCCACATTAAATAGTGTTCCTCCACTTCAAATAGTGTTCCTCCACTTCAAATAGTGTTCCTCCACTTCAAATAGTGTTCCTCCACTTCAAATAGTGTTCCTCCACATGAAATAGTGTTCCTCCACATGAAATAGTGTTCCTCCACATGAAATAGTGTTCCTCCACATGAAATAGTGTTCCTCCACCTTAAATAGTGTTCCTCCACATTAAATAGTGTTCCTCCACTTCAAATAGTGTTCCTCCACTTCAAATAGTGTTCCTCCACTTCAAATAGTGTTCCTCCACATTAAATAGTGTTCCTCCACATTAAATAGTGTTCCTCCACATTAAATAGTGTTCCTCCACTTCAAATAGTGTTCCTCCACATGAAATAGTGTTCCTCCACTTCAAATAGTGTTCCTCCACTTCAAATAGTGTTCCTCCACTTCAAATAGTGTTCCTCCACTTCAAATAGTGTTCCTCCACTTCAAATAGTGTTCCTCCACATGAAATAGTGTTCCTCCACTTCAAATAGTGTTCCTCCGCCTTAAATAGTGTTCCTCCGCCTTAAATAGTGTTCCTCCACATGAAATAGTGTTCCTCCGCCTTAAATAGTGTTCCTCCACCTTAAATAGTGTTCCTCCACCTTAAATAGTGTTCCTCCACCTCAAATAGTGTTCCTCCGCCTGAAATAGTGTTCCTCCACCTTAAATAGTGTTCCTCCGCCTTAAATAGTGTTCCTCCGCCTTAAATAGTGTTCCTCCGCCTTAAATAGTGTTCCTCCACCTTAAATAGTGTTCCTCCGCCTTAAATAGTGTTCCTCCGCCTTAAATAGTGTTCCTCCGCCTTAAATAGTGTTCCTCCACCTTAAATAGTGTTCCTCCACCTTAAATAGTGTTCCTCCACCTTAAATAGTGTTCCTCCACCTTAAATAGTGTTCCTCCACCTTAAATAGTGTTCCTCCACCTTAAATAGTGTTCCTCCACCTTAAATAGTGTTCCTCCACCTTAAATAGTGTTCCTCTGCACTTGCTAATATTTGACCACTTACCAATTTTGTTCCAAGTTTTGATCTATATCTGTGACACCTGCTTCTGATAGCTCTCCATCAGGTGGCGGCTACAGCAGTTTTCCGGGAGAGACAATCCTCCCATAAGCCCCTCACACATGCAAACTCTTTCACTCCTTCCCCAAACCTTCTTTAAAATGTTGTTCCACTCTCCTTTGCCAAATACTGTAATCCCATTATGTCACTCCTACATCCTTCTCATTTAACAACTCGAGCATTCTACCTACACGTTCACACCACGTAAGTATATTTTGCTTCAAGCCCTCCACGTATTATTTCCTCACTGTAATGAGTGTCATATCATCTCTCTCATATTTGTTCAGTGCTATGTCCGTCTACATACAGTACTCGCACTAGCTGGTTAACTAAAAAATAGAAAATTCCAATGTTTGTATTAGTACTTTATTATTTATCAGTCCTTTCTTAACTCCCATAGCTTTCTCTCATTCACATCATTATTCACCTTTCCAAGCCCTCTTCTCCCTGTCATTACCTCTCTCTCTCTCTCTCTCTCTCTCTCATTTCATCTTCCATACATCTCATTTTAGCTATTCTACGCCTAAGTATTTACATCTTACTGCCTCTTCCAATGTCTCTATCTTTTATAAAGAGACTACGATACTGTAATTCATCGGTAAGCCTAACTTTCAGAATCCCCCTCACCCCTCTAGCAACCAAAACAATTCTTATATAGTAATGCCAGAATTTAAAATCTTTTAAATCAATTAAATTGTAATTATCAAGCCATATTTTGAAGTCAAACTTCTAGTTACTTAAGTTATTTTTCATAATTTGACTATTAAAGTATGATGCAGGTGAATTCAACTGGTTTGAATTCAGTCAACCATGTAACAAACTTTACCACGGGGATATTACACAACTTTCTCTCACTTCTATGCGTAGTTCAATGCTTTCATTCTTATAAGCTCAGTCAATCAATGCCACCTATAAATTACTTCACTTCACATGACAGAGTTCAGTATTATTCAGCTGTCATCTATAATTAAAATATTTGATGTAACAAACTTAAAGCCATCATGAAACATTCTTGTTCCTCCCTTGTCCTGCGCCGGCTCTTGCCACTCTCTCGGTTTATGTATACAGTATTGTTTTCCAATTTTACAAATATTCTGCCACTTCCCATTTCTATACAAATACTGTAATCCATACCTGTGTTTCATCGTTTAAAAACAATACAGTTTAGTTCCGATGTTTCACTACTGTTACACACGTGCACTTGAAAATATCAGTAAAAGCCACGAGGTAGATTCGAATCTGTGCTCTGGGTACTTACTCCAAAGCAAACACCTCTCGCCACTACACCATGACATGGTCAAAAGCATTGCAATCTGGGATTCAACTAAATCCTCTAAGGTTCTACAAGCCAGAGTGCATGGGGGGCATTGTGTGAAACCCTGGTTAGGCTTCAGTGTAAACCTCAGGAACCCTAGAGGATTCAGTTGAAGCTCAGGTTGCAATGCTTTTGACCATGTCGTGGTGTAATAGTCTAAGGCATTTGCTTAGAAGTAACCAGAGAAGAGGTTTAATCCTCCTCCTCATGGCTCCTCCTGATTTTCTCATTGATATATCACATTACTGTCATTTCTTTGTACACTTGCAATTGTATCATTTATTCTTTCATCTCTCCACTTAACTTTCTTGTTTGTTTCCAAATAAGGTTTATTTTCCATAAAGTGCCAATAATGTTTTCACACAAATTTAATCTTTAACCTCCTCCGTTCTGTTGGATTTGGTTCAGTTTTCATTCTGTATGTCGAGTCCATCTAAACTACTTCTTAACTTTGCCTGACAAATAATTCTTTCATAAGCTTTTCATGTCTTTGCTATAACCCCAAGTACACACAGTTTTACTGCTACTCTGCTAATTAAAATGTTCTTACTACATTTCTTTTGCTTTCACTCTATTTTCTTTAAAAAACAGCCACATCTCCATCTCACCATCAACAGCTTCTACTTTAATTAAGACAGTACTTTACAGGTTCACAATTTCAACACCTACCCATATCTTACGGCATACTGAACACTACCTAGACAACCCTTATTTATCTCCAAAATGCTCTTAACTACTATTGTACATTTTATTATTGTTGTTTTATAGTTATATCTCTGAACATTAAGTAAACTTACAAGAACCTCGACCACCACCTTACCGTTCTTGTCTGTGTGCCATACTGATTGCCCGATACAATCCGCACAATATCTCTTGGCTGTTCCTCCGAATGTCCTTGATCTGGTGGTGGTGTTGGAAGTGGACCAATCACAGCTCCAGTCCCGGTGGTTGTAGTCGGGATTCCTGGTTCCAACAAGCCTCTTGTTGGAGACAATCGTCCTCCCAATGCTCCTCCTGTGGAGCTATTAGTTGCCTGCAGAGGAGCAGATAGCTCAGGAAGGTGGAGACGTGTGCGTATAGAACGACGCCGGGGAAGCCGACGAAAAACACTAGGCGACATCATGCATGACCTATGGACAAAGATAAATGTTTCTAGAAGTTTTTAGTACAGGATAATTACCTTCATAAATTTGCAATGTATTAACATAGTTGACATCTTAAAATAAACAAATTTTGCTTGTAAACATCCAAGGCAAGCATCGACAAGCAGTCATTTCTCAGGACATGAAAAAATATATAATGAATACAATAATTACAGGGTGCTATAATGAACAGAGGAAATAAAATGAGTTTAGACTGCTTTAAGAAGAGTGGGAGGATGTGGTAGTGGTGTTGTAGTGCTGTTCAGTGAAACTGACCTGTCAATAAGGATCAAGATTTAGTTCTAGGTTCAGCCTCCCAGCTACAGTAGTTGGGTACAGCACTTTTATACTTTCCACTGTTCCAATGTTCTGTCAAATTTACTTGTGAAATTATGAAATGAGGAGCTTTCACAACTTCTGCTTCAAGCATGGTCAATTTGTTTACCACCTGCAATGATTACTAAGATTTCCTTAGATGACAGGTACCTCTCCATCATCAGAGAAGCAAATATAGACATCTTACATTGACATATAGCCATTATATGTAAACATTGCAGCGATAGGACTGTGCCACTGGGTCTAGATCTAGTTTATAACTCTAGTTCAGAATGATCAGCTACATTAGAGGTTTCAATACTGATGATGCAGCCCATCCTCCTAAGGTTTTCCAACGTCAAGAAAACGGTCAGTTTAAAGTGTCCTCTCCTAACCTACCAGAGGACCCAAAACAGAAAATGGGACAGTACGTCATTTTCGCGAGCCGCTTCCATTTTTTAGTACAACAATTTTTGGCCTTGTGTAATACATACGAGCAAAAAACTACATTCTTTGTAGGAGGCCAAGTTGGATGATGACAATACAGTCACTTCAGAACAACCATCAAATGCTGGACTCAATCTTACTATGATCAATAAGTAATGGTGAAATGCTCTGTTCAACAAGATCTTAAATATGGGTATGTATATCAGATGGTGATTGCTGGATTGCAACTCTTCCATTAATTGTGCTTATATGAATGCATTCATTAGTATTGGTATTGTTCATGAACCGATATATAACAAAATTAAAATAAATAAAGCTTAGCCTATACTGTTCATTAAATATTGACAGAATAAACTGACAAAAATATGCCACCACTGCTGGTACTTTAGCTGTCTGAGATTGTTTATGAACTTGCTGAAACATATTTAAACATTACAAAATTGGTTATCATTTTATTTTTTATTTTTACCAGTTAACAAACTTAGTAGAACAAACTGACACTTAAAATTTCAATAGCATTACACCAGTATAAACACCATAACAAACCTATGAGAGTGTCGAGATCGTGCTCTTGTCCCAAAAGGCCCTCTCTGTAATCGGGCAACTGATCTAGGACTAGTACGAGACCAATGGCGAATAAGAGGCAATGGTTGGGAGTTGACACTAGGTCCTAGGTGCGGGGATGGCACCTGGAGATCATCTTCCCCGACGCCTCCACTTCTGTTCAGTAATAAATACACTAACATTAGTCACACAATGGATAATGTTACATTGCGTTTCAATACAACCTAAAAATTATTCTACTTACATGTAAATGCTGACCATGAAACAAATTTGATATGGATACTGTGACGGTAACGCGTTGGTGTTCGGCTGTTTAAGGCTAGGGGTATGGCCTCGTCACATAGTTATAAAAAAAATAGAAAAACTGGAACTTCGTCTGTGGTAAGGTAAGGAGAAGACACACAAAACACAAGTAAACTTTAACAATGAAATTTTAATTACGTTAAATAAATCAAAACATGAAAATAATGCACAAACAAATATGTATAATAAAATCAATCAATCAAAATAATAAGAATACTTGAATGACACAATGAAAAGTTACGTTAAGGCAAAATAACAAGAAGTGCAATACAACAGTTAAGTGGGAGGTGCTGGAATATTGGCTTAAAGCCACCACCTCTCTCAGTACACGCTAACGTCTAGCTGGGAGGAGTGCTGGCTACGAAAGCACGGAACATTCTGAGGACTGATGTTGGGGCGACCCCAGACATCAGGTAGTATTGGGGGCGAGTGCAGGTGCAGCCAGACCGGCGACCAATCAGCGGAGCCGTAGCGATCAACGGGTAGTTTGGTGGTTGGAGTTCGAACAGGTGGCTGGTTGCATACGTTTCTGCTCACCCTGGCAAGCCTTGCTGGTGCTGGTGTTGTTGTCGTTGTTTGACATTTCTTCCATAGTCTTTTATATAATTGTGACGACGTAATTATGAAGGGAAGAGCAGGCTCAATCTCTTGAAGGAGATTATCGTCACAACTCTCCCCCGAAGCCTGCGGTTCTGGAAGAAGTACGTCGTTATGTGGTGGAGTAATGGATGGAGTCGCTTCTACTTCATAAACTCTGGAGAGATCATGGGCTAAGATGTTGTCAGACTCTTGGTATAGCGTGTCTCCAGGTTGAATTTCTGCAGGTAGCAAGCCCATAGTAGAAGACGTTGAGATGAGAAGTGGGCGTGCTGCAGGAGGTGTAGGGTGGTGTGGTCCGTATTGATGGTGGACCGAGCACTTTTCAGGTGTGGAGTGAAGTGCTGAAGCTTCAGGATGAGGAAGAGTAGCTCCTTGCCAATTGTTCCGTCGTTCCTTGTAGCAGTAGTCGCTGACAGGTGAATTCTTCTCGCCTCGTTGCTGCATCACGACACCACCATCGTCGGTACCATTGGCGTCGACATGGAGGATGTAGGGCTTATCTGACGAGGTGAGAGTGGAATTAGAAGAGGGCATAGGAGCACGAGTATTATCCTGAAAGCATTTGGGAAGATCATTAAGGATTTTGGAATTAGAAAGCGCCGACTCCTTGTCAGTGCTTTCGGGAGAAGAAGCTGGGAAGGTCTCACTGTGGATGTAGGGTTCTGTGAATGTGGAATAATTAGTCAAGACAGTGGGAGGAGTACCATTATATTGCTTCAGGAGGTTGACGTGGCACAGCTGGGTCTTCCGCCGCCTATCTGGAGTCTCTATGACGTATGTGTTGTTGCTTCTGCACTCTTTGACGCAGTAGGGTCCTGAAAATCTGTTTTGTAAAGGTGAACCTGGGATAGGGAAATAAGCAAGGACGAAGTCTCCCGGCTTGAATTTTCTTACTTTGCTGGTCTGGTCGTAATGAGTCTTCATTCTCACCTGGGCTTTCAATAGATTATCATGAGCAAAGCGGTGGACTCTCTCTAGAATGTGTTGAAGGTTTTGAAGAAACTGGGGCACATTCTGATGCTCACTGAAGGTGGCATCTCTGAGAGAGTCTTTGAAAGCCTTAAGGGGAGTACGGCACTTACGGCCGTAGAGCATCTCATAAGGAGATACTCCTAGGGACTCATTGGGGAGACTTCTGAAAATACACATTATTAGGTCAATCTGCTTATCCCAATCCTTTGAGGTTTCACTACAAAACTTTTTCAAGAGTGCTTTGATGGTCTGATGACTACGTTCAAGAGAACCCTGTGAAGCAGGATGATAGGGGCTGGACAATACCTGTTTGATGTTGAACTCCTCCAGTGTCCTTTTGAAGAGATCACTGGTGAAGTTGGTGCCACAGTCACTTTGAATCTCCCTGGGAAATCCGTATTGAGTGAAGATCTTCAATAGATGTTTGATAACCGTAGCAGCCGTGATGTTCTTCACTGGAACTGCTATGGGAAATCTGGTGGTAGGACACAGGATGGTTAGGATGTAGGCGTTACCTGAACTGGTCCGAGGTAAAGGACCAACACAGTCTATTATGAGTCTGTGGAAAGGTTCCGCAGGCACCTGTATGGGAATCAGTGGTGCTCTGGGAATGGAGACGTTCGGTTTGCCTGCCATCTGACATGTATGACACTGTTTTACGTACTGTTTGACGTTGTTTACCATACCTGGCCAGTAGTAGTCTTGACGAATCCCATGGTAAGTCTTGTTGAAGCCGTAGTGGGAGAATGCTCCGTGGGCCAGGTGTAGAATAGTGGGCCGCAGGCTGGTGGGAATCACAAGTTGTTCGGTGTTGGCCCAATCGTCCTCCTCCTTCAGTTTACTGGGTCTATATCTGCGGTAGAGCAAGTCGTTCTCTAGGAAGAACCCAGGAATACTGTCGGGTTGAGTCTCAGCCTGGAAAAACAATGGTGTTAAAGTAAGATCTTCCCTCTGCAACTTACGGAACTCCAACTTGGTCAGATGCGGGGGTAGTTTCTGAGGGTCTTGAGGGACAGCGGTAGCAGTAGAGTCAGCTGGCTGTGGACGTGCGGCTTGTGCACGGGTGGTCACGAGAACCGGAGGAGAAACATCATCACTCTCTTGAACCTCTGCTGGAACATACTCAAGAATAGGGTTACTTGGCACAGAGTTACACACCTGGGGTTTGTCCATGACGATCAGGTTGGTTGGTTGCAGGTCTTCTGCCAAGTCGTTGCCTAGGAGAAGTTGCACTCCAGGCAGGGGAAAAGGCTTTTCCCTGACGGCGACTTGGACTTCCCCGTTCACGTAGGGACAATCCAGGTGGACTCTGGCGAGAGGGTATGGAGTGGTAGCAGTGAGGTCAGTGATGAAGACTGTTTCCCCGGTGTAGACTATGTTGGGCACAGCCGACTTCAAGATGATCGATTGTAGAGCCGCTGTGTCCCTCAAGATCTTCAATTTGAAACGTCCCTCCGGATTTGAACCGTTGGCAGAGACAGTTCCAGTATACAGGTGGTTACTGAAAAGAGAAAGATCATTAACATCAACACCAACATTCATCACAGGCTTACCGGACTTAGGAGGAGTTGGTTTGGGTCGTTGTTGGTCAGTGGTTCCCTTGTATTGAGACTTACCACACTTGTCTATGGTATGTCCATAGAGTCTACAATACTTGCAGTACAGTTGTGAACCAGCTTGATCGGGGCTCACCTTCTCGTAACTGTACCACGACTTCTTACTGGAGGATGGTTCAGGTGTCAGCCGGTGGATGAGGCTGTAAGTGTCAGCCGACTTAGCACACTTCAGGTAGTCGGTTTCTTCTTTATCTGCTAAGTAGAGGCGGACAGGAGGCGGCACACGTCTCAAGAATTCTTCAACAAGCATCAGGTTGACGAGTTCTGCAAAAGTAGAGACATGTGCTGCTTCCAGCCATTTCATGAAATACCTCCGTTTCGTGTTAGCAAACTCGAGGAAGGTAGTGGTACTTGCCTTCAGGTGGTCACGGAATTTCCTTCTATAACTTTCGGTGGAAAGTAGGTAGGCGTCTAACACTGCTTGTTTCAGAGTGTAGTAGTCATTCTCAGACGCCAAAGTACTGAGTGTGACTGCAGCTCTACCTGTAAGATGGACTCTGAGAAGTGTGGCCCATTGGTCGACAGGCCAACGGAGTTGATTAGCAAGGGTTTCAAAGGTGGTAAAGAACACATCAACTTCTGCTTCTACAAAGGATGGCATTAACTTACTTGCATGTGATATATTAAAACTGACGGGAAGATTGGCAGTAGCTTGCTGGCGTTGAGTGAAGTGTGAAGTTTCCAAGGCGATTTCGCGTTGACGACACTCTAGAGCCAGAGTCGCTTGTTGCTTGTCATGTTCGCGTTGTATTTCCAACTCGCGTTGTTTGGTTTCAAGCTGTACTCTTTCACGTTCACGGAGTAATGCGACCTCACGTTCGTGTTCTTCTCTCCTCAAAGCAGCTTCGCGTTCTTGTTCGTCTCTCCTCAAAGCAGCTTCGCGTTCTTGTTCGTCTCTCCGTATGGAAGCAGCTCGTTCTTGTTGTTCGAGGGCTTCCCTTTGCTGCTCACGTTCAATCTTGGCCAGCTCTAGTTTGAGTTTCAGCGTTGCCAAATCAGTTTTATCTGCAATATAGTAAGTTTCATGAGTTTCAGAGTCTATCTTACCTTGCTCTAAATAGTAATCCAGCAACAGGTTGTGTAGGTCATTTTTGTTGGCTTGGTAGGGAACTTCTAGTTGATACTCATGTGCAAGAGTTTGTAGTTCAGTCCTCTTGGCACGACTTAAAGTCCCTATTTCACCTGCTGGATTTGCACGGAAAGTTTGGAGACGAAACATGGTGAAATTAGCAAATAAAGGTACACGAATGTTCAATAATGAAATGTCAGAAACAGGACAACGTGGCAACTGGTACCTATCCTGTGTGATCTTTAACAATTAACGTTAAGTGAAAGATATTAAATGATTAAATGAAATCAAGGGCGCAGGAAATCTTGTACCCGGTACTCATGTAAGAGAATAAGGGCAAGAAAATCCTACTAACAAATGAAACAAAGTTTCGAAAACAAATGAAACAGTTAAATGCTTCAAAAGTAAAATTGGTAGTCCAAGGATGTAGGCATACCTTGCCAAGTCTCTAAAGGACATAAAGCAAGTTTTTCCCACTGAATTTAATATGATACTTACAGAATTAGCGAACTTTTGTGCTCTGAAAAAATAAGCTAATTCCCTACCGTTGTATGTATCATCATCTCTGACTGACGTGTAGGGGTGCGAGGTGTCAA